TTTTTTTTTTTTGATAAGTTACCTCATAATCTATTATTGATCCTTCAATAAAAATTACCAGCAGGTAAACTGATTGACAATGGATAAAGATGCAATAACCCCTGAAAGCATAATGTTTAGAAGAACTTTAAACTTTCAGACAGTATATGAAGAAAAGGCATCTCTTCCATGAGCATTCACTACTACTTTGGATACAACAGCAAGTAAGAAGAYCTATATTTCAATTTGATTACCCTACCAGTTGCAAGAATTCTTCCCAGGAATAAATTGCTAAACCAAACTTTTCCACCTCTTCTCTTTGTTCAGGTGTAACCTCGCCAAAGCTCACAACAGCTGAAAAACAAAATGAAATTCTCAGTGTCTCATATCACAAATTCACCATTCACCAAGCATGTGGAAGAAATGAAGCTTACTTTTCAAGTACTCTGATGTCTTTGGAAATGTTTTTAACACCTGGAAAGATGAAAGRTCACCTATTAATATGGAAGAACATTGCTAGTTTATGCTATCTGGCACCCTGATCAAGTCTACAGTTGATACATGAAAAACTGCTGTGTAACTGCAGGAATGACTGGGCTTAAATACAACAAAATGCTTTCAGTGAACTGAAAAGTAAGTTCAACTGAAGTCCCAGCTTCATAATATGTGAAACTAATGGGTCCTAAGCAAGGCCTGCAAAGGTTTGTTGTGCCGCCCATACTATAATGGACAGTGCCAGTACGGCACCTGATACAAGCCCAGGCCTGCCCAGCCCTGCCTGTGGGCAGGCATGATATTTTTTATGTGGTGGGTTGCAGTGAAATTTTCCCTATATTTTATATATAAATGTTATAATATGGCACTTATAATATATATTAGATATAATGTTTTATATGATATAATGTATAAAATAAATTATATGCATAATATATACTGTTTAATATAAAATATTATAGATGTAATATATAATACATAAAAGACATAGCCCCAGGCCATGCATCATATGGGTCTTAACCCCTAGGCCAAGCCCAGCCTAAGGGTGGGAGCTGTGCTTGGCATGCCATGGTACTGTGTTGTGCCGGGCAATGCCAGCCCATGTGCAGCCCAGCCTGTTTAATATCTCTAGTCCTAAGAAGAAAACAACCATCATTTTTTTCCAAACTAGTTAAAGAATGAAAAGCAAACATAAAGCATCATATACCTCAGGAATCTTCTTTTCCTCTACAAAAGCAATTGAAACCTCTGAATGGCATATAATAAATTCCACAGCATCAGCACCTATAACCATGAAAGAGTAGTCACAACTATTCATCTTCAATTACTGTGCTTATAAAAAATTACGAACACTCGACAAGGATTTTAGTCAGGTGCCCTATCCCATATTTTCTTGATATAGTTAAAAGGCACCATAAGCATATTTCTAATTAAAATCATAAGCCTATAATATAGAAAATCAAATGCTAAAGCAATGTCCTCAAAGTGCATACCAAGGGTATCATATAAAGGAACGCAATAAATGCCGTGAGCATTGCAAGCCTGCATATATTTTGCAGAGTTAAATTAAAAATATCAAAAGAGGGAAATTATACTAGGCAGAGAAAATAAGAAACTAAACTCCACAAAACCATAACAAAGAAAGGAAATGCACTCCAAAAAAGTAAAACCATCACAAGAAAATAAGATTAAGGCATTAGAATATTAAAGAGAAATAGACAACATCCTTAAACAAGAGTTTCCTAAACCTATAACTCAATAGAGAAATTGACACTGTTTAAGGAAATCACTCAATACTCAGAGATACTGATGTTGTTCCTGGAAACAATATGTAAATGATAAGCTAGTACCTCCATGCTCATAATCCACTCCGGACAATTGGCACCATAGATACCGCATCTTCCTCCCTGGAAATGACAAATGGGCAAATGAACTGTTACTCCAAGTTGGACATAATTTTTGCACATAGAACAATCTCATAAAGGAAAAGAAAAACTACTACTACCAAATGAGATAAGATCAGTTGGTCAGTTCAAGCCAAAGGAGGAAAATAAACTAAAAGATGAAAAGTTTAATCTTGCCCACCTAAATAGAACTTTACCCAAGGGCCCTCAAGGACAGAATCTATGATAAAAATGACAAAAAACATGAATAAGGGAGAAGGGTTTTTTTTTTCATTCTTTTTATTGAGGATCTCACTATATCCATGAGCAAAGAATCTAAAACAATACAAAAAGTTGTTTTTCCAACAGAACAGTATGACCCTATCAAGAAAAAATGGCATTGCCATCAAGCTACCTGTAATTGCAAACCAAAATTTACTCCTGGTAATTTTTTTACATCAGGCTGAGTGGTAAAACTAGAAAGGATAGGATCAAAAACGGAGTCATACAAAGGAACCGAGGAGTAGCTCCAATAGGTGATAAAATGAGAGAATGAAGACTAAGGTGGTTGGTCATGTGCATAGAAGACCATCTACAGCATCCACTAGAAGAATTGAAAGGGCTAGAAAAGCCAGGGGCAGATCAAAAAGGACTTGGGTGGAAATAGTAAGAACTGATTTAAGCATCCATAATATGACAATGGAAATGGAACAGAACAGATTGGTGAAACATGATTCATGCAGCTGAACCATATAGTTGGGACAAGGCTTAGATGATGATGATGATGCCAATGATGACAGCTTAATCACAGGGTAAAGCAACAACAGATCTACAGTATTTCTGGGAATCATTCCAAAAATTGTAGCAGGGGTGAATAGAGACTGTGGAAGGATCAAACTGCTCAATCCTGCTTGGTGTCAAAGCATAGATTCAAGAGCACAAACAACTAATACAAAATTTGTTATTCAACTTTTCAATCCCTAATACTGAAAAATTAAGATACAACAAATCAGTAACTTACTTTCTCAACACCACAACTACGGATAGAATCTCCAACTTTCATGACAATGTCATACACTTCTTGGTAAGTTTTCCAAACATATTTACCCGGCTGCAAAAAAAAAAAAAAAATAGATATCAGAAACAACCACCAAAACTTCAACGTACCATTGATTAAGAGGAWATGTATCATAGGGAAGGTTGATTATGTGAGGAAAGCAGTAATCTTAATTGCAAGGAAGATGTACCTTCCCATTGACAATCTCACGACGACCAAGCATTGGATTTTTAGGACACTTCTCAACTGACATGCTGTAACAGACAAAATAACATCAGTCATGTCAACAACGTCAAGGACTCAAGAAGATAACCAAACATTTTATGCCATTAAAAGGGACCGACTCACCACCAAGCTTTTGAAGGATTCTAACCAAAGAAAATTTAAAACTCACTAATCAGTACTGCCAACAGTAAGTTGAATTTGCAGGCGTTCGTAATAGTTTATGACACCTTTATTATTACATAATGGAAATTCAATACGGATAAATCCTACAATCCTCTGGTGAAGGTAATAGAGGGGCAAACAAAACGAAGGAATAACATAAATAAATCAAGTTGATAAACAAGTAATACCAGTCCTGAAAGTGGGGCAATCAGAAAAGGCAACATATTTCATGGTGTCGAATAATGAGAATGACACGATGGGATCTAAAATATTTCCAAACGTAAAAGCTCCAGTTTGGTCAACAGTTATAACAACATGACTGTAGTGTGAGAACTCCTTCCAAATTTTCGTCCTGTATAGAATGAAAATATGCGACACCAAAAATTTATGTTATGAAGTGTAAGCCACTAGATTTGCAAAACCTAAGAGGTAAGAACCAATGATCGATTCAAATTTCTTTACCAAACTAGTAAGTTATAAACAAATAACTAGTGAATAGTAGAATGATCTTAAGGTATGGCCGACGAACACAGAGCTGCATGTCTGCGATCGAACCATCTCCGTTGACTGATTTGGACCAAAAGAAGTAGCTTTCACATAGTTACATCTAGATTATAGACAGCTTTCTAAAAATAAATAAATAAAAATGCTCGCCGCAAAATTTTTCATGGCGCGCATGCTAGCATCAAATTTCCGAACCTCACGCTTTGATTCATATGGGTGGAAAACCGGATATTTGAGTTCTCGAGTAGACGAAATTAGTTAACAATAAAAAAGAAGAAGCCCAACCCGTGGAACTAAAGATTATTAAAATTGGCGAAGACTCAAAACGAAGAACTGAAAAAATGAACCCACCGAAAAACATCCCAGCAGCTCTCCATTCCTTCAACCGGCGGTGGGAATCCATCCTTAGCGAACAGACTTCGATAAACGGGACCCCTCGAAGGCTTCCCATCAGTCGCTTCCTTTGCCTTCTCAACCTCAATTATAAACTTATTATGCTGCTGCTCCATTGCTTGACCTTACCCTCTCTTCCTTCTCAGATTTGGTCGTAGTGAATCAATCTGCAAATCTGAACTACGCGGTTAGAGTTTTCAGATCCTCAGTCAGAGGCAAGTGGTAATCGAAATAGGACAAGCCCGGCAGAGCTGAAGACTCAAGGGAGACTTTGTCGTTAATAATATACACAGAAGACATGTTAGGTTAAAAGTGTTGAACCACGGTTAAAATTGACCTGAAAACCAGTTAACCGATCGTCACTCGTCAGCGATTCTCGACGGCTGGACCATCTAATCGGTAAACCCCAACTACTCGTGTTGTACGGTCCAACCGTAACGAWTAACAACACCGTAGTCCGTAGTAAAGGAATACAGGTTACAGGCTGGGGAGTAGACAGGAGAAGATTTCTTTTGAACAAATAGACATGAAAAGATTTCGGAGTAGCTGTTGATTGTCTCAATAAATCATGCATAGGAATAGGATAGGTGACCAAACCAGAAAAAAGTAGATCATGTGGTATTTATGTCTATGACTATGAGATAATAAAAGAAAACAGAGAACGTATCCTTCCATGTCTTATTGCACGTCGCAGGATATCCCCGAATCGGTGGTCGTAACTGATTTGAGCTCCATATACTATACTTTGAAGAGGATGAATACGTGTGGCTATGGTTAAATGAATAAGTTGAATTGATGACACACTACTCTCCTTAGATCTAGCTTCATTTGAGTAGTTTGGGTTTGAGTTTCGTTAGCCTTCATTTAAGTTCTATTTTAATCGAGTTCAAACCTTAGGATAAATTTAATCAGTTATTTGAGTTTGAATTTGATTAATAAAAAGTTTAGCTTGAAAGTTTTTGTATTTGATTCGATTAATATATATAATATAAAAAATATATTATATATATTATGAAAATGTATTTTTAAATTATATAGTATAAGAATATATTATATATTATAAAAAAGCATTCATTTTTKAGCTTTTGAGCCAAGCTCGAGCTCATCGAATATTTTAATTGAACCAAGCTCAAGYCGAAAAATATAATTGAATCGAGCTCAAGTTTGAACTCGAATGTAATAGTATTTTAGTCAAGTTGAACCAAAACATGCCAAAATTTGGCTCAACTCAGCTTGATTGCACCCCTTACCAACCAACTTTTGCCTATGGACATGATATCCTAGCCCAACCAATAAAAAAAAAATTGATCGACTAGGTATTTGTACCGTAGGCCGGGCTAAGCATGCATATGGTCTTRTCACTTACCTTTTAGTGTTTCTTTGGGGCATTTTTTAATTTTATAAATGCTTATTTTAAATATCTTGATTTTGTGAAAACTACCATTGACACCCTTTTTCTTTTTTTTGGTCCATGTGACATCTTAATGGTGCTTAATGGCATCTTAAGTGGTGTTTGATTACACTTTTCAAACGTTTGAAGTTTGAAAATTTTGCTTTTCAAATGCCAATGGTGTTCGGGTTTAGCTCTGATTAGAGGATCTCAAACACAAATTCATATCTAAATTGGTAAGACTTGGTTTCATGTCTTACAAAATCCAATGCATTCCATACGTGATAAAATAATATTAATACATTGTTAATGTCATGTAATTAACAACAATAATAATAATGATTGTATATTTATTATTATTATTATTATTATATTACTTAATAACTATTATTTCTCCATTTAAATAAAACATAATAGTAGTAATAATATTTATTTAACAATAAGATTAATAATAGTATTATTTAATAATAATAAATAATTATTTATTTCAAAAAATATAATATTTGTTTATTAATAGAATATTATTTTATTTTATTTTTTTATTTATAATATTATCAAAAAATCTATTTCTAAGGGTAAAATAATAAACTTCACAATTTCATATGTTGGAGAATTGCTCCAACTCAAATGATCTTATCTTTTTAGAACCTCTAAAAAGCATAAAATCACTTCCACTTCTTTTTCGATTTCAAACCCGAATAGTATCTTTTTAACTTTTCATATTTCAAATTTATCAAACACAATCTTAATGGCTTGAATAAATAATAAAAAAATATGCATATAAAACACAATTACTTTAAACAATTTCCAATATATAAACTTTTCTTAGAAAAAAGATAGTATGCTTTTAGACTTAAGAGTATAGTGGAGACAGACAGCAATCAGTAGCTTTTACACTCATATTCCTATAGGACCTGTTTGGAAGCTGGTTTAGTTGCTTTGTAGCATTCTAGATAAGCTATTCAAAGAGGCTAAAGCACACAACCATTTTGGGTCTTCTAGAATTTTCACTAATAGCCCATTTTAAAGGGCTTACGCAATGATTGAACATATTCGAATGAACTACTTAATATAGATAAATTGGAAAGTTGATTTTGTGGCTTCAGTAAGCCTCGCATTATTTACTTAAGGAAGTAGTACTCTCCTCATATTTGGGTAAATTATTTATCCATTTATGCCAAAATCATATTATCCCTTCAATTATATCAGTTTTTTGGATAAATCAGTCATTGTGCACCTTTGTCTAGGGAAYAAAAGAACACTGATAAGTGCTTTTATCCGGATACATGTTTTATAAGAAACAATTACCCGAATAAGTGCATTTACCCATGCAAGTCATTTACTAATATGCAAATGAGGCCTTTTAATAAATATAGCTACATGGCATTCCAGTTTTCTCAACTCATGTAACACTAGAAGCCACTATAGGAAAGCTTCCCCCACAAGAGAAGCCATGAAGTTGTGCTTGGTAAAAACCCAAAAGGTCAAGAAAAAATATGATCATTGAGTTGAGAACTCAATTTTTTGATGAAGCTAGTTTTGGTAGCTTCTCCAACGCTGCTCAGTCAACACAAAAGCCATCCCAAACTAGTTATAGATTGTTTTCATGGATTCATTTTAAAATAGTTAGAAGTCGTTCAAACTCTATTTTTCCAGCTTGAGCTCCATTCAATGGAATATTTGAAGAATTGCAGCCCCCTCCTAGTCTACCAATAGCCCCCCCCCCCCTCCCCCCAACTGTATCCTATTCGTGAATTTGACATCAATCCACGGGTAGGATTCAGTCCATTCATAAAAATCTTAGCTCCACCCTAGGGGTGGGGTTGAACTCTAAAAACCCTAAATATCTAAAAACTAATAAATAAAACTAGATTTGCAAGCTTTTGAGTCGAACTTTTTATTAGTTAAAAGTTCAAATAACTAATCGAACTTACCTTGAAATTCAAACTCAATTAAAATCAAATGTGATTCAAAACCTAATTAAACTTCAGGCCAAACTATTCCATTAAAGCTTGATTTGATTGTACAACTGGAGTTTGGATCTTCTCCTTACACCAACCTCACAATGCATATCAGCCATATATTGAAAATATATTTTATACTTTATATTATTCATGGAAAGATATTCCCAATACATGATGGGATGGACTATGAGGGCGTGTGAGATGCAGTCTGTGAGTAGCAATTCTAGGGCGGTGTGAGGTGCAGTCCGTTTCCCAATGGACTTTGAATCTCCTGTCTATAATAATTCTGCCCATGTGTGACTGCGATAAGGCTATAATAATGAATTTAAAACATGATAAGGCTACCTGTCAAAAGATAAGAGCAATTTATAGATAAGCAATTTATTTTTTATTTTTTATTTTTTATTTTTTATTTTTATAAATCTGCCTCTTGCRAATTAGCTCATGCTTTTCTAACCACAGAAAAAATCAGTCCAGGATTATTGCCAACATCCCATTCCATGATGAAAAGTGAAAACGACAGGCGATTACCACAGGCCAGCCCGTATAATATCGACCGGGTTTTGAAACGATACCACACAACTTTAAACCTACTACCAAATGCTCGTTATTTTTCTCCCTAACAGTTAAAAACTGATCAAGGTTATTGAAAAACGGACCTTTAGTCTGATGTTGAGATGTAATAGATTAGATAGATGATGACATGCTTTTGAATACATTTTCAAAAATAATAAAAAAAAAAAACAGGCTTTTGAATATTAAAATAAATCCATTTCATCTAGGGATAAAAATTTTAAAATTAGAGTTTTTAATAAGGGTGAAATTTCAAGGGATGTTAAAGTAATCGTAAAAATGTATAAGCGATTAAATGTATAATCGTAAAAATGTAATATACCGTTAATCTCTCTCTCTCTCTCTCTATATATATATTTCCAAAGTATGAAGTGAGGTTTTTTTAGAGGTGAAAGTTCAAGAAAAGTTAAAAGCAGTGGTCAAAAACAATAGGTTGAGATGCCCGACCCAATAATAAAACAAAACCGAAAACTAACTTTATTATTAATCACACTTAATTTCGTTTATTATTTTAATAAGGTTCGATTATAAATATGATGTCCGAAAAGCAACTAACTAATAAACTAGAATTAGCAAATGAGATATTATTTATCAAAATTCATGATGAATTTTGAATTTTGATTTTTCCATATCAAATATTTTCCGTACCATAGATTTTTCCCATTTTAATATACTACTTCTAACAAAAGGGTCCTTCGAGATACATAGACTTCTATTTAGTTTCTAGATGGAAGCTTCAGATATGTAATCAGTCCAAACACGTGGCTAGGACTCTTGAACAAGAAAAGCTATCAATTTCACTTAATTTAAACAATTAGAAAGTTAGCTCATACTCTTTAATAATAAACGGATTCTAGCCACTACCTATAATTTCTTTTTACTTTTCTTTCTTTCTCCTTAAATAAGAATATGTATAGAGAATAAAGACTATAAATTCAAAATGTTTAAAAGTTGTTGGCCGGCTCCAGGTCAAAGTAAATTATGCGTGCCATGCGACAAACTTCTTTAGGCATAACATGTAAATTCTTTCAGCCCGCCGCTTTAGTTTTCTTTTGTCAAAGTCAAATCATTATTAAACGCCTGTAATCGGATATTCGGATTAATCCGATTCGGCTACAAATTTTCTACAATATCAAAAAAATTAAAAATTTATTTTTTATTTTTTTATATATAATAAATTAATATACTAAATTTATTATATACATCAGTTCACATATAATATAATATATAGAATTATAATTTTAAATATAAGTATATAAAACTTATATATTAAAATGAATAAATGTTATATTATAATCTGATTGAATTAGGTCAAATCTAAATCCGATTCGATTATTAACGATTGTAATATCTAAATTCCATCTGATTATATATATAAAATTCGAATCCAGATTGGGTTGTTTAGTTTCATATCACTACACCTAATTTAGGGTAGGGTTGTATTTTTCTTAATGCAATTTTGGGTTGTATAAAGGAAATTTTTTAATTTTTTAATCCATGCCATTTTTGAAACTATCAATTAGAAACTCTATTTTTTCCAAAAAATTTTCCTAAAATCTCTCTCACTCTCTCTCTCTTTCCCACACCTTCCAATAACCTAACTAATCTAATATCCTAAAATTTCTCCTAAACAACCTCCCCCACTATCCCTAACTTTCC